ATCCCTTCCCTCTGGTGTGTGACCCTCACCCCCCAGCTTGGTGTTGTCAGCAAACTTGCTGAGGGTGCACTCCATCCCACTGTCTGTCATTGGAGATAATAAACAGTACTGGTCCCTATATTTACCCCTGGGGAACACCACTTGTCACTGATCTCCATGTGGACATTGAGCTGTTGACCAAGTACTCTCTGGATATGGCCACCCAACCAGTTCGTCACCCACTGAATAGTCCACCCATGAAATCTCCATCTCTACAATTTACAGAGAAGGATGTTTTGGGGGACCATGTCGAGATAATAAACAGTACTGGTCCCTATATTTACCCCTGGGGAACACCACTTGTCACTGATCTCCATGTGGACATTGAGCTGTTGACCAAGTACTCTCTGGATATGGCCACCCAACCAGTTCGTCACCCACTGAATAGTCCACCCATGAAATCTCCATCTCTACAATTTACAGAGAAGGATGTTTTGGGGGACCATGTCAGAGGCCTTACAGAAGCCCAGATTGATGACATCAGTAGCTCTTCCCTTGTCCACTGATGAAGTCACTCCATCACAGAAGGCCAGTAGGTTGGTCAGGCAAGACCTGCCCTTGGTGAAGCCACGCTGGCTGTCTCAAATCACCTACCTGTCCTCAGCTTCCAGGAGGATCTGCTCCATAATCTTCCTGGGCACAGAGGCGAGGCTGACAGGCAGTTCCCAGGGTCCTCCTTTCCATCCTTTTAAAAATTAAGTGCAATGTTCCCCTTTTTCCAGTTACCAGGGACTTCACCTGGCTGCCATGACTGTCCAACCATCAAGGAGAGTGGCTTGGCAACTAAGTCCACCAATTCCATCGGGACTCTGGGATGCATCTCATCAGGTCCCATGGGCTTGTGTGCTCCTCAGATGGTCATAAACCTGGTCTTCCCTTACAGTGGGAGTGTCTTTGCTACCCCAGACCCTGACTTATGGTCCCTCCACCCCAGAGGTGGGGGAAGAGAGGTTAGCATTGAACACTGAGTCAGAAAAGTTATTGAGTATCTCAGCAGTTGGTTGATTTTTGGAGAGTTTTTTCCTATTTACCTTCTTAAATTTAATCCCATGTCAATTATTTTTAAAGTTCTCAGAAAATTTTATTTTTGATTCCAGGAAAATGAAAAAGAATTGGAAGAAGCCGAAGAGTATAAAGAAGCACGTTCCATACTGGAGTCAGTGGATCTGGAAGCCTAGAAGTTTTTCAGTACTTTCTTTATACGCATTAGCACTGGGTCCATTCCACAATTCCGTTTGACTATGGCTTTGTTACTATTGTTGACTTGTTAAGGTTCCCTTTATGCAAATCAGCCTTTCTCTAACTGCAAGATGCATCAAATAAAGGATGTTGTGAAACACCTGTGTGTTCCATGTTCAGGCACAATAAGAAATATTTCCAGTTCACCCTGGTTACAAAAAGGGAAAATAAAGCTGAATTATGTAAGTGTAATGGTGCAGCAGCTAATGTACAGAACTTAATCTGAACAAGTTTAGCTATGTAAGGAATGTGAGGGACCAGTAAATACTTCAGAATGAAACAGAAGCATAGAGTGCCTTGGAGTGGAAAGGACCTTGAAGATTCATCCAGTTCCAACACCCTGCCTTGGGCTTTAGAAGCACCTTCAGTAATTTTAAGCCATTGTAGCATAACAGTCTGTACTGAAACAGGAGATGGACTAAAAGACCCTTCAAAGTCACCCATCTTTTTTTCTTTGATGCAATTTATCTGTAAGTTTATCAAGAACATACTCCTTGTTTATCTTTGAGCATAGGACAGAATTATGATTTGGTTCCAAATCTTTCTCAGTTTTCCTGGTTTTTGATTTGTAGAGCTCAATTCACACCATTAGCATTGATTGAAATTCTATTACTTCATCGAGAAACAGAATTCAGCAGCTGACCAGTATGTTCTCAGTTGGATCGGCAGGTAAGGGTTTTGGACTTAGGCCAAGGTGCTTCCAGGAAAAGCACTAAGTGAGGTTTTTTGAATAAAGATGAAAGTAGTAATGGGTAAGGGAACAATGCTTAATCTGCTTGTAAGACATGAAAACATTCTATATAAAACATGGGTTCTTTCAGAATACCTTTGCTAAACAGTAAACTCTGATGAACAAGAAAGCTTTTTACATTAGTTTTTCTAGTTTGGAAGTGTTTTGGCATGTTCCTTAAAGGCAACACAAAGCAGTGTACCTTTTGTGGGGCTATCTTGCACACTCTTAAAATCTTTTGTTAATTTGCCTGAGTTTGGGTAAACTGCAGCTTCAGTACCTCGATTTATGCACCTTAAGCACACAGAGTAGTAAGTCTACTTCTTCATCACTCTTAAGTAGTGCTCTGACAGATTATCAACACCGCAAGATTTCTGACTGACTGCAGAATAATCATAGAATCCCAGAATGGT